TTAAAGCTTTCCACCAACCACTGCATTTATTTTGGTTTTATTTGCGCCCAATTCCGAATCGAAAAACTTACTTTTTCTCGCAATAATTCCACGCGTCCGTACAAAATTTGCAATTGGCGAAAGGTGTGTGCACACATAATAAAATGTCAAATGATTACAATCGGAGCTGCCAACTTCGCTGAAACCGGTACATTTTTGGGCCTATACACAGCAACATGTTGTCTCAAACGATCAGAAAAATATTACGATCATCTAACACGCAACGTTCAGTTGAACAGAAGTCCACAGCAACGCGTTCAGAAGGTGCAATCGCAACAGATACTGAGGTGTTTCGCCTTCTGAACGTGCCCAATATTTCAATACATTATTGTGAAATACGTTGCGTGTACTTCGTTTTCTCAACTAAAATTTTTAATGTCTATAGTGTATACAACTGGTTTACCTTACTTTGGCATTGGCCTTTGTTTTAGGAATGTGTTTCTCATTGAATTTAATTTAATTTTGAATTAAAAAGGATGACACCCTCTTTGGCTCTTTTATTTTTAAATTTTGCATATTTTGACACTTTTTTATCCTCAATATGGCACTTCATAGCTAAGTGGAGTTGGCAGCCCTGATTACAATAGTGGTGGCCAAGGCGAATTTATACAAGGTGATGTTCAAGACGAATCAAGGCGAATTTATACAAGGTGGTTTTACAAGGCGAATTTATACAAGGTGGTGTTAACAGAACAAACACAAAATTACAACAAATTATACGTTCCTTGACAATCGGTACAAAGCCAAATTACAACAAACACATGATTTTGGCAAAAGGTAAAAATTCGCCGTGAAATCAGCGGATCCGATAACACTACCCTGTATAGATTCGCCCAAGGCTAATTTATACAAAGTGGTGTTTATGGCGAATTAAATTTTCGCCGCGGTTCTACTGAATGTCAAAATGATGTGTTTGTTGTAAACTAGGCGAATTTATTTTATAACAAACACGTCATTTTGACATTAAGACGTACCTCGGCGAAAATCTAAATCCGCCATCAACACCACCTTGTATAAATTCGCCTTGGTATTAATGTGAAAATAAAGGCGAATTTATACAAGGTGGTGTTGATGGCGAATTTAGATTTTCGCCGCAGTAAACTAGGTCTGGGACCATCCGCATATTCGAATATCCGGATATTCATCCGGATTCTCCGTTGACACGGATAAAATCCGGATAGTATGGATATCCGGTTAATATTCATTTGTGCAACTATCCGGATGTCCGGATTTATGAAAATCCGGTTAATATTCGTATTTTAGGATATCCACTAAAAAATTAACCAATCGGTGAACAATATTCGTTTGCGGGGTGGTCGTTACAAAACTACATCTGCTTTTGGGTGGTGAGTTTATTTTTTTCACGCCTGTTAATTAAATTCGTCGTTGGTCCTCGGCACACTAGACTGCTCAGTCCGCCTAAAACCGGCTTTGTGTGGATAAGAGGAGGAAGAGAGTTCGAATTTACCTCGTTCATTTCAGTCCGCGAAAATCGCGGATTGACGGTGGACTGACACGCACACATAGACAACGTGTTTTCTATTTCGTTTTGTTTTCATGTGCCATATGCACTAAAAAAAATCCTGCGTAGTTCATGTATACAAAACTGAAACCTGTTTTCGGCCAACTGCCCAGTCCAGTGTGCGTTCGGCCCATTAAAGGTGAAATTAGTCAAGAACGCAGAACTTATACTTAAACGCTGTCTGTATACGCAGAATTTCGTCGGTTACTGGAGCCCTCAGTGTTGCTTCCTACAGTGTTACCACTCATCATTGCGTTTTCATAAACTTACCTTTTCAACTACAATTGTTCGTGCTATAATAGATGATAGCTAAATATAAACTTCTCATTTTTTAACAAAAAAAACTTATTCGATAGTAAATTTCAAATATTTTAAAAGTATTTTGAATAGGAACTTATAACTTTTTTACCATCTGCAAAACTGACGAAGTGGCAACCATCTATAGAAGGAAGAAATCAACTGACACGGAAAAAACTAAATTCTGCAGATTTCTGCGCTACGGGCTGCGTAAGCTACGGGTAAGACAGATCGTGTCAGCTGACTTGGGTTTACATACCGGTGGATTTACGTTCTTGACTAATTTCACCTAAACACCACCTTGTATGAATTCGCTTTGAACACCACCCTATATAAATTCGCCTTGATCTTGTATAAATTCGCCTGGATTTTGGATTTCGCTTATATTTTTTTCTTCCCGTTTATTTTTTGTCTTCTCTTTCCAAACAAACAAAGATAAATTATTT